CCTCCTCCTCCTCCTCCTCCTCCTCCTCCTCACCCACGCCCTCGCCATTGCCCTCGCCATTGCCCTCGCCCCCCCTGTCAGCGGCGGCGCGCCACCCCCGAAGCCGCCGCGACCCCGCCTCGAACTCCGGGCGCCCCCAGCGAGCCGCGCGGGGGCGGGCGTGCGAGCCGCAGCGGGCGCTGGCGCGGGAGCCTCCGCGGCACGGAGGGCGGCCGCGCGGCGGCTTTCGGCGCCCCGTCGACGTGGCCCTTCGGCGGCATTCGGCGCTCCGTCGAAGTGACCACGCAACGGCCTGCGGCGGCTCTCCGAACCCCTCGACGTGGCCTGCGAGCCCCTCGAGGCGGCATCGGAAAGCTGCTGCTGCTGCTGTGTTTGCTGCTGCTGCTGCTGCTGCTGTTGCTGCTGCTGTTGCTGCTGCTGCTGCTGCTGCTGCTGCTGCTGCTGCTGCTGCTGCTGCTGCTGCTTTTGTTTTGCTGATGCTGATGCTGATGTTGCTGTGGCTGCTGCTGCTGCTGCTGCTGCTTTTGTTGCTGTTGCTGCATTTGTTGCTGCTGCGTTTGCTGCTGCTGGTCTAGCAGTTGCACTGAGCTAGCGCAAGAGTGCCAGGCCCCGGAGGACGCCAATTGACACCGAAACCGCAATGGAAGCTCTCTTCTCCTCAGGCACACCCTTCACGTGTTGCACGAGGCAGACGGCTGGCAACGTCTCAAGCTGGGCCACGTGCTCCCCATTCCTCAGCCACAAGCTGTGCACGTGACCACAAGAGCCGAGGTACACATGAGTGGCGCGAGTGCGGCAGCAAAAGTTAGTATCACGCGTGCGCGCACACATAGAAAAATGATGGTGCTCAAAGCGAGCAAGGAGAGGAGATGGAGGAAGTTTGGAAAGCAAGCGTTGGGATCGCTGGAAATCGCGATCTTCATCGTCACGATGGCGCTCTCGTCTGACGGAGCGAGAAGGGAGAATATTGAAGCAGCGATGACAAGAGCGTGCACGAGCAAGAAGCTTATAATGCAAAATCTCCCGTCAGAAACCGGTAAGCACTGCAATGGAAAGCTCACGAGGTCGCAGGCCAGGGCCAGGGGCATCCACAAGAGCCACAAGCCTTTCTGCAACCTCTGCTTCTATCGGCGGGCTGCACGGCAAATGGTTCTGGGCTGCATAGCGGGCGCAATGCTGAACTCACGTTCGCCTGAAGTACGTGCTCGGATTCACGGAAGTGTTTTTCTTTATTTATATATATATATATAGTAACAAAAAAACTGGATGCTACGCCGCTGGCAAGCAAAACGCGCCCCCCTTGCGGGCAGCAAGAGCCAAAGTAATCGTCGCGGATTCGGCGCGGAGTGCTCCCCCAACAAGCCGCGGCCCTAGGCCTGTCGTAGGGGGCGCAAGAGGGGCGCTGATAAAGGGGATCACTCGACCTGCTGCTCTACGTGACGGACCAACTGCTGGAACTTGGCATTCCCGTTCACTCCAATGGTCTCGGGCAGCTGGTTCGTCTGCAGCCACTCGTTAAGGATTGCCTGCGCTAGCTTCGGGCACTCTGACAACTTCTCGATGCGGGGGTTCGCGCTGCGCCGGCCACTCCGAGAGGTCCAACTCTGGCAGCAGCTGCGCATGTCTAGAGACGATGCGCGTCGGAACGTTTTCGCGGTCGAGGTCTGCCGGGGCAGCGGCACGACCCGGGTAAGTACACGGCGCATCAAGCAAGGGAAGGCGGGAGGTCGCCTCGCCTCGGGGGCGCCTGGCCCTGGGAAGTGCCACTCTCGACCCTGACGACCCTGGCGAGCTCGTGACCAGACGCTGGAGCTCTTCGATGGTCTTCTGCATATCATTGATGATCGCCTGGCTCGCGGCCAAGTCACCGAGATCGTCATCGCGGGTGCTCTTCTGCATCTGCTGGAAGAGCTTCTTCGCGCTAGCTGCGTCCATCTCGCATGGCTCGCCATCGCCACCATGTTGACTTATTGTGATTGGTGTTATTGTTCTGCTTCTACTGCTGGCAAAACTTTGTAGGCCTTGCGCATGTCCTCCATGCTGGGCCTGCTGTTGCTTGAAGACAAAGAGGATTTAGACTGGCTCGGAGATGCGGCACTGCTCGTCGAGTCTTCTTCACGAAGGGCACGGCCACGGGCGACTCCAGGAAACTGAACGGCACCTTCTCGTCTGACCTTTTCTCGTTCTACCCCTCTTTCTCCACGCATGGTCCATGAATCCACAATGGCACACGTCCGTCGTGGCTTGAATTGCACGCGAAGAGAGATCAGCATCGCCACGTAGAACAGCTTGATCACATAAAGTTAATTGGCCAGAAACCAAGATTTAGACCTCCAATCCAGCACGCACAAAGAGGAGCTCGCATGGCTCACAACAGTAACTGAATAGTGGTCGGTCGGGCAGGGGCCATGCGCGCGGGAGCCAAGGGCCCAGCCTGCACCCATCACCCCCGCCGCCACCAGGCGGCCGATAGCCGAAGCCGCCTGGAACAGGCATCGCGCAACCCACCATCCAGCCAACCCACTCACAACATCCTCAAAATACAAATTCACGGCGAGCTCGGCGGACAGCCAGCCCGCGAAACGGAACACGGGGTCGAGGCCGTCGCCCAGGGAGTTCGCGTAATTGTTGAAGTCGGATAGCAAACTACTCATCTGGCAGCATACAGGACGCTGCACGGCGGTTCCAACAAAACCTCAACCCCCTCACCCCACGCGCCGGCACCCCCCGCCTCCCGCGGAAGGGGCGCCCAGGGGGTGGGAAAGGCTGGGCGGCGGCTTGAACCGGGCGAACCTGGATTTTGCAAGGCGGAGCACATGATGAGGCCACCTTCCGCTACAGATGGCGGCCGTGAGCTGATACCAAGTCTTCTTATTAGCTTGTCGTGGGCACTTCATACCAGCGAATTCAAGGTTCGCGTGCGTCGGTCGGAATTGATGGAGGACGCGGAAACGGTAGCCTGGGGTCTCGGTCCGCTGGTTGCGCTCCACGATCAGGGCACTGTAGTCGTATAGGGTTCTTTTGGCTCCACAACGCCGTGGGCAAGTCGGTTCCCCAGGCGTCCATAGTAATCGCGGCCGTTGACTGAAGCGCTACATGCCTTCCATCCTCTGCTTGCAAAGGCTGCAAAACACACGAGGCGCTCGGTCTCGTCTAGCCCAAGTGAGAGGGCCCAAGATGCGAGATCCTTGTTGTCGAGCTTCTCTGTTGCGAAGGAGGCGCTTCCGCTCGTCGACGAGGGCGCGGCCTACCAGGCCATCGAACTCACGCGTCTCTTCAGGGGCCCACTCGATGACATTGCGAAGTTGCTGAAAAGATACCACTTGCTCGGCGTGGGCGCCCTTCTCCGCCAGGCCGGCCGCTGATTCCACTGCGCGTCTCGATAAGTCACTATCTCTGTCTGTCTTGCAAATGCATCCCCTGGGCGGCGGCGCAGTCCAAATCGGTTTCGGCGGCGAATGCCAGTCAGGGACAACATCGAGGCCACCCTTGCGGTCTGCGGTGACCAGCGCCAGCAGAGCGCACAGGATTCGCGCGGCGCGTTTGCGCGCCACAAACGTAGATCTGCACTTGAAGCCAGGCGCGAGCCTCAGCCCCAAGGGGGCGAGGGCGCCAAGTTCCACGCGGGCAGGTCGAGGAGCCAACTCACACTTGCATAACTTTGCCATCCGCGCAGCCACCGTCGAGATGCAGCGCGCCAGTCTGGCGACTTTCGCGCCGCTAACACTCTCCTGGGGAGTCGCCAAGGGGAGGCCCGTAGCTATAGCGAAGTCAATTGCAAGCTCCACCCATGTTACGGACAGGGGAGCGCGAACAGCATCGTCAGCTTCCCATTGCAACTGGGCAAAGTACCACACCGCCGCTGGAAAAAGCGACTGCTGGTAGTACCACATCGCCATTGGGAACGACTCAAGCAGGTTCGGGGCGAACATCCAGCCGGCGAGGTCTGGCGCAACGGGCCCCCAATCATAGCCAGAAAAAGCCAACTTGGGGGGCCAGTTCGTCGAGTTAGTAGTTACTTGGCCCAGGGCAAGCTCGCCATTGGAACTGCTGCTCGGGCTCGGTCGGCCCGAAGACGCAGCAGTCGCAGTGCTTGTCGCTGGTAAGGTTGCGCTCGGCACGGCGGCAGGTGGAGCTCTCGCCCTCGCCGCGCAAGCGTCGGGGGACTCCTCGCGCAGGTGGCGGTGGAGGTGCAGGCGGTTGGCTCGGCCGGTCGCGATCGGACTCGCCCGTGCCTAAGTGCGCCTGCGCGTCTTCATGGCCCTCCAGGTAGGTCAGGGAGATGCCAATCAAGTTCTGCTTGCTCCATGGCACGTGCCCGCTCGCACCCGGCGTGGTGCACGCCGCGACCCATCTCCGTCAGCGCCTTGGCTCGTCTCTCGAGGATGACCGCGGCAGTGCGCGGGGGCAGGTAGCATAGCTGCTGGCCTCGAAGGCGTCGTTGTTGCAGCGGTGCTGGAAGGCCGCGCGAGCGCGCGGCTCGAACTGCGCCCTCGTCGGCAGCCTGGTCGCGCCCCCGCGGCGCGCGGCCCTCAGCGGAACGCCGCGTTAACTGCGGTGTGATTTGATCTTCTGCACGCGAAATTAGTCTCGGCCTGTGGCTTCCAGTCCAGTCCCAATAGCTTCCCATAGGTCAACGCGCTGCTTGGCGGTCAGGGTCTCGCCGCGAAACAAGGCCGTGAAGTTCCGCGCGCAGCACGCGCTCTATATAATATATCTTCGAGGGCACCATGCCCAGGCGACACAATGACTCAACGCTGAAACTTCGGCGCGCTGGGCGCCCCGGGCCACTCCTCGGAGCGGCGCCTCGACGTTGCAGGGGCGACCGCTGCCATGATGAAGCGCGCGCCCAGATCTGCAAACCCGAAGGCCCGACGCCTGGCCAGGGCAGGGACCGTCTCCTGCAACCGCGACATAGCTACCAATCTTGGTCAGCACTGTGTCCTCAACGTATCCCACTTCGTAGTCTCCGTCGCCATGATGGGGCGGGACTTGGAGCGGCGGCTCGGCGGCCCGTCATCCCCTACTTCTCCTTATTCTGGATGTTCTTCTTCACTCTCTTGCAAGACACTCCCATGACGGGTCCCACGGCACTGGCTGCCGCGCGCCTCATCATCGACATCGTGGACATGCGATCGGCCTTCGCCGCGCGCCCATGCTCGGCCTGCACGAAGGCTTGCTGCATGTTCCTGGCGCATGTCAGCTCGTCGCGCAGGTGGGCTGCCTCACCAGACTCACGGCGATGGTGAGTGGTGCGCTGCTGCTGGCGCTGGCAGCCCACGCGGCGCTGGCGCCGGTGGCTACGCGGCGCGCGCGGCGCCCCGCGAGGCGCCCAGCGTTCGCCGCCGCAGCTGCCAGGGCCGCCTGGAGGGCGCTAGCCGCCACCCCTGGCCCCCCCTGTCGCAGGTGGGCGCGGGCGCACGAGAGCCCAGCTGCTAGCGGGCGCGCGCCAACCGTCTTGCAACGGAGGTTCGCTCACGAGGGTTGCTTTCTGGAGCCAAGAAGCCCGCGCATGGGGAATCGATGGGGGATCGGAGATCTGGAACGTGGCCTTTCGCACTGGCCCCCACCTCTTCACGCTGCGAACGCGACCGGGCAGGCCCCCCCCCCCCCAGCTTTCGAAGCACGCAAATGCACGATGACGCGCGGCGACGAGGGATACTACAAAGGCTCTCACCAAGGATCTGGATGGGCCACGCGTGGAGCAACACTTCAGTGAGCACATCAACGGTCGCTTCACGGGCTCGCGTTGGGCGCCCTCGGCCCATCGCGCTGCGCGCGGCAGCGCGCTCCCAAAGGCGAGGATAGAGGAGGCGGGAGGGGGGCAAACGATGGGCACTCCAATATTGGGGAAACTTGGCACACTCACGATCGCCACGAGCTCCCGTGGTAGATTCGAAATTGGCTGGAAACCAAAAAAAACACGGCGTTCAACACTGCCCCCACTAGGGGCCAACTGGCATTGCAAATACTGGATGGGCAGATCAGCGCCCCCACGCGCGATTCCGACGCCGGAAGAAAACAGTTTCTGCCAGCCTTCCCTCTATTATTCATATATATATATTATAGTAATAGTAATAATCATAATATTTCTACGCGCCGTTTATTTTCTTCTTTTGCTAATATAAAAGAAGAAGAATAATAAGAAGAAGAAAGGGGCAAGAAAAAAAGAACCCCCACAAACAAAAAAAACAAAAACACACACACACACACACATCTGCGGCAATAGACGCGGGAGAAGCAAAGGGAATCATCCGCATAGAGGAGGGTCTGTACAAGTCCTGCTGCGCCCATAGCTGGGAGATGGAGCCCCGGTGGTTCCGAAACCTGCGGGCATCGATACGGCTCGCAGGTGCTTTGCCCCAAGTCGGCCAACGTCGCGGGCCCCGACGTGGAGCCCCCCATCGGCCAACCCCCCCCGCGGCAAAACTCCTCACTCCCCACGGGAAACTAAGTATCTTCACGCGCGTAGTGCAAAGCATGAACGATATCGCTAAACGTGACAAGACAGCGCCCTTGCTTCCTGATAAATCCTGGGATGTATAGGCGACCCTCTGCTTTGCGACCACATCTGACCTCGACGCCAGCGACGCCTGTCGTGGCCGCGATTCGTTAAAGTGATTTCCTAGCTCGGGCACATCCTCGAACCTCGGAGGCATATTTGAAAAATTTGGCTGCATCAACTTTGACAAATGGCACAGCTGGCTTCGTGCTCCCACGGAGACACTTGCACGTATACGCGCCAACAAAGCTAAGGCGTTTGACGCGTTCGTGCAGGAGCAATGGGAGATCATCGGGTCGCCATTCTGTCCAAGTTGGGTATCCTGAGCATTGTTTGGCAATCCTGAGGGCTCGCGATGCTTTTCGCACGAAAGGTTTCTGTGCGGCGCGGCAATTGTCGATGATCTCGCGCTCGTGGGCGCGAGGCTCGGTGTAAGTAGGGGCACCTGTAGTGGCCGAAACGCATTTAACCTTGATAGTAAGATAAGCCCTTGGGGCACGCTCGACTCGCGCTTGGCGGTTGCTTCTCCACCGCGGAGTGATGATACGCAAGTCTCGTTGTCGCTGCATTTCCGTGATTTGTTTGGCTGACAACAGTAGCTTATGCTCGCAAAGCGCATGGTCTCCGAGAAAGCATATGCCGAGCCCCCAGAGATAGGGTGGGACGGGGATTCCCGCCCTCCGGCGGGGGTCTCAATCAACTCGATTCGACGCCAGCTCAGGCATCCCACGCATGTAGAAGGTGGAAGCATGGATATTCTTAATGATGAAGGTAGGAACGCCAAAGGCACGAAGTGAACGCTCGTTGCAACAGTGCTGATTGCAGCTCGGGCTTCGCTACTTTAAGAATGACGCGTAAGTGCTACCGATGCCCATGTTGTTGCGACACGTATTGGTAGAACTGGCGGTAACTGAGAATGTAGTACAACGTCCACGTTTGTACGTTCGATTTACCTTTTTGCTTGCCAGATGCCCTGACAGGCATCGAATGTTGCGTAGTGGGAAAAGGAAACGGTTATCGAACCCTCGCAGGGCCCAATTTCCTGTGCATTTGGCAATGGCCTGGCACGAGGTTGATTCATTACCGCGGGTCGGGATCTGGATGTACCGACACATGGACAACAGCACTTGGTGCCCACGCATGCGTTGCAATGTATTCTTCCAGTCAGCATATGCGATGTGGGGAGAAAGTGGGACGCTCGTTTGAACGCAACTTCCATAGTGGGCAAGGAACACATCTATTTATGTATTAACCACCCCCGCCCGAGAGCGGGATACTGGGGGTGAGCTGCTGGCTGTATTTAACTGACGCAAGAGTGCTAGGCCCCACAGGATTCCAATCGACACCGAAATCGCAATGGAGGCCCTCTTTTCCTTAAACACACCGTTCACGTGTTGCATAAAGCAGACGGCTGGCAACGTCTCAAGCTGGGTGACGTGCTCCCCATTCCTCAGCCACAAGCTATGTACGTGACCACAACAGCCGAAGTACACATCAGTGGCGCGAGTGTGGCACAAGTTAATATCACGCGTGCGCACACACATAGAAAAATGACATAGAAAAATGATGGTGTTCAAAGCGAGCAAGACGAAGAGATGGAGGGAGTTGGAAGAAAAAAAAAACTGATGAGATCGCTGGAAATCGCGATCTTCATCGTCATGATGGCACTCTCGCATGGCGGAGCGCGAAGGGAGGAGAGTAAAGCGTTTAATGCATATGATGTTGCTGCTGCTGCTGCTGCTTTTGCTGCTGCTGCTGCTGAAGGGGCTCCAGGCAATTCCCAGCAGAGACGAAGCACGCTGGCACCGGAGCAATGCGAGCTGAGATAAGGGCGCTTCACAAATCGGCCCCTGGACCTCTCCCGAGGTCCACACGTACCAGTTGTCCGAGCTCCGTCCCGCCGTGGCGACGAAGGGCCCCCCCCCGAAAGCCAACGACCGTTGCCTCGACCCGCCCTCTACAGAAACCATCAAAACTGACAGCAAGGATGCGCGATGTGCCAGCCCCTTGGACACCCGCGTTGGGTTTTTTCCAACGCCGCGGACCATCGAAAGTAGTCACGGGTGGACCAAGGAGGCACGGATGCAAGGGTCCCCTTGGGAAGCGAACCCATCATCTCGGAGGCGAGCGAGGGTGAAATGAGAAGGAAAAGGCCTTTTTAGAAGGCGGCGGGACTTCTCAGAAACCCTCGCGCCTTCTGAACAGTTGTTTCTTGTCTTCGGGGAAGGTTGAGACAACTTCTCAGACGGCCGGGGGACCTCCGAAGCTTCTGAGAAGGCCTCCTCCTCCTCACTTCCTCCCTCGCTCGCCGCCCCCGGGCAGCCTTCCGCGCCCGCCGACGCGGCCGCGCGGCGGCGGCCTTCCGCCCCCCCTCCCCCCCCCTCGAGGGAGGTGGGCATCTGGCGACTTCGGCGGCCGTCGGGGGGCCCCCACGGGTCGCCCCAGCCGTGGCCCTGAGGAGGGGGAGGGCCAGGGGGAGGAGAGGGAGGGGGAGGAGGAGGGGGAGGGGGAGGGGGAGGGGGGAGAGCCAAGCCAGGTGCGCTCGCGCCATACCTGACCTCCTATCCCTCCCTCCAATCCCTCACTATGGCGAAAATATACTCTATATTCGCACAGTCGGATGTCGAGCAAGGCAATGATCCCAAGAGGAGGCGCAATGCATCGTAGAGCACGGCATAGCAGGGCGCAGAAGAGCACAGCAGAGCGTGGTATGTCATAGCACGGCGTGGCGTTGCGTAGTGAGGAGTTGCATCAGAAAGCATTGCAACGCAAAGAATGGCATCGCACAGCGGCACATAACAGAACATTGCATGTCGTTGAAAATCGAGGCGCAGCATGGTATAGCATGGCGT